TAAGACTACAGTGTGTCTTGTAAGATTGAAGTGTGTCTTGAAAGACTGTAGTGTGTCTTGCAAGACCGCACTGTGTCTTGTAAGACGTTGGGAAGAATTATAACTTTGTTGGGAGTGGTGTTGATGCGTGGAGAATTAATGATCTGAAGAGCTCTTTTCTTGCAGTCTTTGATGAAAAAGGAAGGAAAATGTAACTCAGTGAATGTTTAGTGAATGTATGTACATTCCTCGTCAAGAAACTCAGGACTCCAAATTCGGTATGCTCTTAGGAAAATCCCGATGATGATGCCTCTTTTGGTCTTGGTATCTTGACTGGAATAGAAGTGTGTGAGATCATTTTTATTGGTGGGTTTCCGATAAACCTGAAATCTTAGGTTGTTGTCTACTTTGTGAATGAGGACGTCGAGGAAAGGTAGCTTGTCATTGGACTCTTCTTCTAGTGTAAACTGGATCGCCGGTTCAACTGCGTTGAGCCTTGCCTGAAGATTCCGTACATCAAAACGTTTGGGAGTTATTACGAGGACGTCGTCCACGTAACGTAACCAAGTGACGCTTGAAGAGATGATGTTGGCGAAGTGTTCGGACTCTAGGTGTTCCATGTATAAGTTGGCTAGGACGGCACTGATGGGGGACCTCATTCCCATGCCGTAGGTTTGTTTGTAGAGCTTGTTATTGAAAGAAAAACAGTTGAAATTAACACAGAATTCAATCAAGTCAACAAAATCTCCGGGAGGTAGAGGAATATTACGGTCCTGATTGACTTTACGTCGTAGAACCTCGATGGCTTTTTTGGTAGGTACTTTTGTGAAGAGGGAAGTCACATCCAAACTGCTTAGTTTCTTGTTACGGATCGAAAGGTTTCGGATGCGGTTGAGAAGGTCGCCTGAGTGTTTAAGATGAGCGGGGCTGATGGTCCCCAGAAGGCAGGAAAGATGTTTGGCAAGAACTCCGGCTAGTTTGTGTGGAGTACTGCCTATTCCTGACGTGATTGGTCTGAGAGGAATATTGTGTTTATGGGTCTTGGGTAAACCATGCATGTGTGCTGGTTTAGGGTTGCTTGGTAACAAGTACAGAAGTTTCTTCCCTTCTCTAGTGCGTTTGAGTATTTGTCTGAGCCTTTATATACCCTTGTGTCCATGTATTGTTTGTAATGGCTTGATAAAGCTCCTGGAGAGCGAAACGTTGCCACAATAAAATGTCACATTAGTTGCACTTGTGTCCTTTTACTTTACATATTGTCGGTAATTCTACCAGCTTTATTACAGAGTGAAGTTGCTGCTTTCTGCCCGTCTTGTGGCATAAAAGCTTGTTTCACGCTGTCCTCGAAGTGGATCCAAGTGTGGTATTTTGACAATATTGGCCTTGTACATAACAGTAAGGCCACCCACATCCCTCCTATGTTGAAGGCTCTGCTGAAATGACAGATCTATCCAGGATGGGTCCAGGCGAGAGATGAGACGTCTTGCTCTGTTCTCTACTCTGTCAAGCAGTCGCAGATGAGAGGGGGGGCAGGCAAACCAAGAAAGTGGAGCATACTCAAGGTGCGAGCGTACTTGTGCCTCTTACAGAATCTTGCAACCCCTACTGTCAAGTAGATGCGAGATACGGCGAAGTGCTGTAAGCTTCCTGGCTGCCTTGTTTGCAAGATTTACAACATGGTTCTTCATGGTTAGTTTGGAGTCAAATTTCACCCCAAGGATATCAACTTCTTCTCCAGGTGCCAACACCCTCCAATTCATCCTTACTACTGCACAAGCATTACCATCATGTTGCCTAGAGACGATCATCATTTGCATTTTCTCAGGTGCAAATGTTACTTGCCATCTATTTCCCCAAGCTGATATAGCTCTCAGCTGGTGATTGATGTAGCTTAGAGCAGCTGGCATTTCTTCTCTTGGATAAGTGAATGTCAGTGTACAGTCGTCTGCATATGCATGTGATTCTGGGATGAGATGAAGAAGGTTGTTGAAGTAGACATTCCATAACAATGGTCCCAGCACGCTTCCTTGTGGAACACTTGCCCCAATAGGATGTCTTGCTGATTCCGTTCCATTGAGAACTACACTTAGAGATCTACCACGAAGGTACTCACTTTTCATCTCTTCCCCTCTTCCTCTCTTCCCCTCTTCCTCTCTTTCTTTGCCTCTTCCCCTCTTCCCTCTCTCTTTCTTTTGCTACATCTTCCCGTTCCATCTCACTTCCTCCCGGGTTCTCTTCTCCTGCCTCTCCATCTTGGAGGTTATTGTTGCTGGTGACCCCTTGACGACAGCTCAGGCTGACAATGCTGAAGTCTCCCAGAGCTCAGTCTGACACTGCTGAAGTCTCCCACAGCTCAGTCTGACACTGCTGAAGTCTCCCACAGCTCAGGCTGACAATGCTGAAGTCTCCCAGAGCTCAGTCTGACACTGCTGAAGTCTCCCACAGCTCAGGCTGACACTGCTGAAGTCTCCCACAGCTCAGGCTGGCATTACTGAAGTCTCCCACAGCTCAGGCTGACACTACTGAAGTCTCCCACAGCTCAGGCTGACACTACTGAAGTCTCCCACAGCTCAGGCTGACACTACTGAAGTCTCCCACAGCTCAGTCTGACACTACTGAAGTCTCCCACAGCTCAGGCTGACACTACTGAAGTCTCCCACAGCTCAGTCTGACACTACTGAAGTCTCCCACAGCTCAGGCTGACACTACTGAAGTCTCCCACAGCTCAGTCTGACACTACTGAAGTCTCCCAACAGCTCAGGCTGACACTACTGAAGTCTACCACAGCTCAGGCTGACACTACTGAAGTCTCCCACAGCTCAGTCTGACACTACTGAAGTCTCCCACAGCTCAGTCTGACACTACTGAAGTCTCCCATAGCTCAGGCTGACATTACTGAAGTCTCCCACAACTCAGTCTGACACTACTGAAGTCTCCCACAGCTCAGGCTGACACTACTGAAGTCTCCCACAGCTCAGTCTGACACTACTGAAGTCTCCCACAGCTCAGTCTGACACTACTGAAGTCTCCCACAGCTCAGGCTGACACTACTGAAGTCTCCCACAGCTCAGTCTGACACTACTGAAGTCTCCCACAGCTCAGGCTGACACTACTGAAGTCTCCCACAGCTCAGGCTGACACTACTGAAGTCTCCCACAGCTCAGGCTGACACTTTCAATGCCATGTATTTAACCCGTCTCGCATGGTGGGAAATGACAGTGAAACACCATCCTGTGTGACAGAATATGACATGGTCACTGTGTGACCATCACATAAAATACTGTAGCAGCACCTTGCGGATATATCGAATCATACTTATTTTAAAAATATATATGTTCTTCCTCTCGTTCACTCCCCTCATTCCTTGCATTCTCACCGTCCTTGAGCAACATTGCAAAAGCGCCTCTTGCAATTGGAGTGATTACCACTCTCCAAATGTCCTTGATTTGGTCCTTGAAGACGTTAGGTCCGTCTAATATGTCTCCTCGACAAGGGAAAACATTGCTGATGGAACGATATGTCATGGTAAGTGCCGGGGACTGATTGCCTCATCTGGCACTGTGATGGCATTGAAAGGGTCGCCTTGAGAGCTCTTCTCAGACGGATGCCGGTTAATGTTATTCTGTTGTGCATTTGTAAGTCGTTGTGGCCTTGTCTCTGGTCTGTGACCTCGTCTTAGGTTTGTGACCTATCTTGTGACTTGTCTTATGACCTGCCTTGTGACTTGTCTTATGACCTATCTTGTGACTTGTCTTATGACCTGTCTTGTGATTTGTCTTGTGATCTGTCTTGTGACCTGTCTTGTGACCTGTCTTGTGACCTGTCTTGTGACCTGTCTTGTGACCTGTCTTGTGACCTGTCTTGTGACCTGTCTTGTGACCTGTCTTGTGACCTGTCTTGTGACCTGTCTTGTGACCTGTCTTGTGACCTGTCTTGTGACCTGTCTAAAGCTATCCAGATATATTGCATGACTACTTCAATGATTCGGGACCTTATACAGAGAAAGAAAAAAAAGAGAGAGAGAGAGAGAGAGAGAGAGAGAGAGAGAGAGAGAGAGAGAGTTATCTTACCCTCGTATGTATATCAGATTTACCTGAAATCACCTGGGGATGAAATCTAAGTGTTCCTCATCTTTATCCAGCCAAACCTTCCTTCCTTTCTTCCTTAATTCCTTCTTTTCCTTTTACTTTCTTCTTTCCTTCCTACTTTCTTTTCTTCCTATCTTCCCTCAATCTTACCTTCCTTTCTTCTTTCCTTCTTTCTTTCCTTCCTTTCTTTCCTTCCCCTCCCTTCTACTCCTTCCTTCCTAATCCTACCATCGCCCTTACTCCGTACATTCCTCCCTTTCCCATTAAACTGATGTTGCTCCCTTATCTCTTGTCTGTGAGTCGACCCCCAGAACAACATCGAACTGAGGGCGAAGTCTGTGTCCTCTCCGGAAGGCTGCACAGAAACCAGTGCAACGAACTGAGTTCAACGTCTCTCCTTGATAGGACAAACAAGGGGAGGTGACATACCTCGGTCGAAGAGCATCGAACTGAGGGCGAAGTCTGTGTCCTCTCCAGAAGGCTGCACGGAAACCAGTGCATCGAACTGAGTTCGACATCTCCCCTTCATAGGACAAACAAGGGGAGGTGACATACCTCGGTCGAAGAGCATCGAACTGAGGGCGAAGTCTGTGTCCTCTCCGGAAGGCTGCACAGAAACCAGTGCATCGAACTGAGTTCAACGTCTCTCCTTGATAGGACAAACAAGGGGAGGTGACATACCTCGGTCGAAGAGCATCGAACTGAGGGCGAAGTCTGTGTCCTCTCCGGAAGGCTGCACAGAAACCAGTGCATCGAACTGAGTTCAACGTCTCTCCTTGATAGGACAAACAAGGGGAGGTGACATACCTCGGTCGAAGAGCATCGAACTGAGGGCGAAGTCTGTGTCCTCTCCGGACGGCTACACAATAACCAACGCATCGAACTGAGTTCGAAGTCTCTCTATGAGAGGATAAACCAAGGAAGATGACCTACCTCGGTCATGTACCCTGACGGAGAGCTGAAGAAGGGGTCCAGGGGCAGTATTCTCCAGCACCTGAGTCTCGTACACCTTCTGTGTGAACTCCAGCGGTCCACTCCCCACCAACTTGGTCACTGTAAAGTCAGATATTTTTGGGTAAGTTTGTAAAACATAAACTTGTGAAATATCTTTATAAAAACAAGATGTAATTCTTAAATACAATGGAGTAATAAATAAGGGTTACAATACCGTGGCTGGAACAATTCAGGAAAATACCGCACACTTGGTAGGAACTTTTAAGATATTTGGCTCCTTCCTGGACCCGTCACGAAAGACAAAAGGAAGTTTGGTTCGCACAAACATTGGTTCGTTATAGATAAACTTCATTGCAATGAGAACATATTGTCTATAGAAAAAAATAAAACAGCTTTGGGTTCCGTAATTACTCAAATCAAGATTTGTGAAGGTCAAATATATAAATATTTGACTCCCATGCACTTTCATGCACTCCCATGTACTCCTTTACACTCTCATGTACTTCCATGTACTCGCATGAACTCCACTGTGCTCTCACATACAAACTAACTTAATAATGGTGAAGCTGTTGTCGTTAACCTCTGAGTTGAAATGAGTTGAGGTAACAATTGTTAGTTTGTGAGACACTTGGAAGGAATTTATTGTGTATCCAAGTGTAAGAGAGAGAGAGAGAGAGGAGAGAGGAGAGAGAGAGGAGAGAGAGAGAGAGAGGAGAGAGAGAGAGAGGAAGAGAGAGAGAGAGAGAGAGAGAGAGAGAGAAAAGAGAGAGAGAGAGAGAGAGAGAGAGAGAGAGAGAGTGAGAGAGAGAGAGAGAGAGAGAAAAGAGAGAGAGAGAGAGAGAGAGGAGAGAGAGAGAGAGAGAGGAGGAGAGGAGAGAGAGAGAGAGAGAGAAGAGAGAGAGAGAGAGAGAGAGAGAGAGAGAAGAGAGAGAGAGAGAGAGAGAGAGAGAGAGAGAGAGAGAGAGAGAGAGAGAGAGAGAGAGAGAATTCTTCCCTCCATACCTTCTTATTCCAAAAGTTATTTGATAATATACATGAATGTTCTCTAATAAGATTGTGTTAGTCTTGTATAACCATTTATCCTCTTCCCCCTCTCTTCCTCTTTTCCTCTCTTCCTCTCTTCCTCTCTTCTTCTTTTTCTACTATTCCTCTCTCTTCTCCTCTTCCTCTTTTTTTTACACATGGTTTGACAATGTTAAGGATCCCTAGCTTTATTGACAAGCTATTTACAGGTTAAGGATTCCTAACTTTATTAACAGGCTAAGAGCTGTTACCTACATCAGCTCATTTGAAAGCATTTTTATTGTTATGATACATACAAGTAGGAAACAGGATGAAGTTGGACCATCTGTGGGCCAGCTGTGGACCATCTGTGGGCCAGCTGTGGACCATCTGTGGACCAGCTGTGGACCATCTGTGGGCCAGCTGTGGACCATCTGTGGGCCAGCTGTGGACCATCTGTGGGCCAGCTGTGGACCATCTGTGGGCCAGCTGTGGACCATCTGTGGGCCAGCTGTGGACCATCTGTGGGCCAGCTGTGGCCCATCTGTGGGATAGCTGTAAACCATCTGTGGGCCAGCTGTGGACCATCTGTGGGCCAGCTGTCGACCATCTGTGGGCCAGCTGTGGACCATCTGTGGGCCAGCATTTTCATTTGATCAACTGACTTTATCTCATTGACATCATAATGCTGTACGAATGTGTTCCATACTCGAGTCATCCTGGGTATACATGATCTCAGATGGAGTGATGTTCTGGAGAAGGGTACAGCCAGAGTGAAGTTGCTACTTTCTGCCCGTCTTGTGGTATAGAAGATTGTTTCACGCTGCCCTCGAAGTGGATCCAAGTGTGGTACTTTAGCAATGTTGGCCTTGTTCATAACAGTAAGGCCACCCGCATCCCTCCTGTGTTGAAGGCTCTGGTGAAATGACAGATCTATCCAGGATGGGTCCAGGCGAGAGATGAGACGTCTTGCTCTGTTCTCCACTCTATCAAGCAGTCGCAGATGAGGCGAGGGGGCAGGCAAACCAAGAAAGTGGAGCATACTCAAGGTGCGAGCGTACTTGTGCCTCGTACAAAATCTTGCAACCCCTACTGTCAAGCAGATGTGAGATACGGCAAATTGCTGTTAGGTTCCTGGCTGCCTTGTTTGGAAGATTTACAACGTGGTTCTTCATGGTCAGTTTGGAGTCCAATTTCACCCCAAGGATATCAACTTCTTCCCCAGATACCAATACTCTCCCATTCATACTTAGTACTGCTCCGGCATTACCATCATGGTGCCAAGAGATCATAATTTGTGTTTTTTCAGGTGCAAATGTTACTTGCCATCTATTTCCCCAAGCTGATATAGCTCTCAGCTGGTGATTGATGTAGCTTAGAGCAGCTGGCATTTCTTCTCTTGGATAAGTGAATGTCAGTGTACAGTCGTCTGCTTATGCATGTGATTCTGGGATGAGATGAAGAAGGTCGTTGAAGTAGACATTCCATAACAATGGTCCCAGAACACTTCCTTGTGGAACACTTGCCCCAATAGGATGTCTTGCTGATTCCGTTCCATTGAGAACTACACTTAGAGATCTACCACGAAGGTGCTCACTTCTCATCTCTTCCCCTCTTCCTCTCTTCCCCTCTTCCTCTCTTTCTTTGCCTCTTCCCCTCTTCCCTCTCTCTTTCTTTTGCTACATCTTCCCGTTCCATCTCACTTCCTCCCGGGTTCTCTTCTCCTGCCTCTCCTTCCATTTCATTCCCATTTCTTTCTTCCTACTCTTCCTTCCCTTTTTGTCTTTTTCCAATTACCTCTTTCCTTTTTTCCTACTTTCCTCTTCAATTGCATTTCCTGATTTCTTCATATTTTTTCTCTACTCTTCCTCCTCTTTCTCTACCACTCCTACCTTCCTCTTCTCCTCCTCCTCCTCCTACTCCTCCACCATCATCACAGCATCTCAGCCACCATCATCACAGCACCTCCTCCACCATCATCACAGCACCTCCTCCACCATCATCACAGCATATCAGCCTCCATCATCACAGCACCTCCTCCACCATCATCACAGCACCTCCTCCACCATCATCACAGCACCTCCTCCATCATCATCACAGCATCTCAGCCTCCATCATCACAGCACCGCCTCCGCCATCATCACAGAACCTCCTCCACCATCATCACAGCACCGCCTCCGCCATCATCACAGCACCTCCTCCACCATCATCACAGCACCTCCTCCACGATCATCACAGCATCTCAGCCTCCAACATCACAGCACCTTCTCCACCATCATCACAGCACTTCCTACACCATCATCACAGCACCTCCTCCACCATCATCACAGCACCTCCTCCACCATCATCACAGCACCTCCTCCACCATCATCACAGCACCTCCTCCACCATCATCACAGCACCTCCTCCACCATCATCACAGCACCTCCCCTCCATCATCACGCCCCACTCCTCCATCATCATCACAGCCCCTTTCCCCCCAAAATCATACAGCAATCCCCCCACCATCAAAAACAGCACCCTCCCCCCCCCACCCACAGCACCTCCCCCACCACCTCCAGCACCTCCTCCCCCATCATCCAGCACCCCCTCCACCATAAATCACAGCCCCTCCCCCCCATCATCACGGGAAACCTCCTCCTTCCCATCAAAAGCACCCCCCCACCATCATCACGGGCCCCTCCTCCACCTCTTCACAGCCCCTTTCCTCCACCCATCACAACCTCCCCCACCATCATCACGGGACCTCCCCAAAACAAAAACAGCCCCTTTCCCCCCAAAATCATCACAGCACCTCCCCCCAACCATCATCAAGAACCTCCTCCACCATCATCACAGCACCCCCCCCCACCATCATCACAGACCTCCTCCACCACCCTTCAAGCACCCCCTCCACCTTTCTCACAGACCCCCCCAAACCATCATCACAGCCCCTTCCCCCCCCATCAATCACAGACCCCCCCCACAATCTTTCCGCACCTCCCCACCACCCTCACAGACCCCTCCACCATAAATCACAGACCTCCCCACCTTAAACAGACCTCCTCCCCCCATCATAAAAGGCCTTTTCCCTCCCCTTTCATCACAGACCCGCCCCCAACCATGTCACAGCACCTCCCCCACCATCTTCACAGCCCTTCCCCCACCATCATCAAGCCCTCCTCCCTCCACCCCACCATCTCACGCCCCTTTTCCCCTCCCCCAAACATCACGGGGGGCACCCCCCCCCAATCATCACAGTCCCTTTCCCACCTTTCTCAAAACCCCTTTCCCCCACCATAATCACAGACCCCTCCACCATCAAAACAGAACCTTCCCACCATCATCACAGACCTCCTCCCCCTTCATCACAGCCCCCCTTTCCACCACATAAACAGAACCCTCCTCCCCATCATCAAAACCCTCCTCCACCATCATCCCCAAGAAACCTCCTCCACCATCATCACGGGCCCTTTCCTCCACCTTCATAAACACACCTCCCCCCAACCCTCATCACAGCACCTCCTCCACCATCATAAACAGCCCCTTCCCCACCATCATCAAAAGCCCCCTTCTCCCCATCTTTCACGCCCCTTTCCTCACCATCCACAGCCCTTCTCCCCCAAATCTTTCACAGCCCCTTCCTCCCCCACATCACAAAAAACCCCCCTCCCCCTTCACACAGCTCCCCCAACCTCATCCCCAGTACCTCCCACCCCCTCATCACAGCCCTCCTCCACCATCATCACAGAACCTTTTCCTCCACCTTTCATCCCCAGCCCTCCTCCACCATCATACAGCACCTTCCTTCCCCCCCCACCATCATCAAAAGCATTTTTCTCCCCCCATCACCCAAAAGCACCCCTCCAAAATCATCACAGCACCTTCTCCCCCTCATCACAGCCCCTTCCCCACCATCTTCACGGGCCCCCTCCTCCCCCTTCATCACAGCACCTTCCCACCATAAATCACAGTACCCCTCCACCATCTTACAGACCTCCCCCACCATCATCACAGAACCCCCCTCCACCACACCCCCAAAATAACCCACCCTCCACCATAAATCACAGCACCCTTCTCCCCCATCATCACAGCCCCTTTCCTCCACCAT